AAAATACTGTGTATAAAATTACCTTCAGGCTATGTGAAAATGGTGCATATGAAACACAAATTAATTTCATGCTTAGACTTGGGGCCCGTCTCCAAGATACCTCTTATGTAGTTGCAAATATTCCAAGGGTCATCCAACAGACATAATGATGATCTGTTGTTCCTTGACCAAAAGACTGAACATTTCCTCCAACAAAGGACAAAAAAAAAAAAGACATCACTCCTCCCAGCACTCACAACTTGACATGGAAGAAGCACTTCTTAGTGACACTAAAAAGGACAGGAAATTGGGTTTTATTTTGAAATCAGATAAAAGAAAACAGAAGCAACTAGTATGGGCATTAAAAAAACACAACAATCATGCCACAAAATGCTGCTTTTCAAGAGTCATTGTTGGATTAGGACATTTGGAGACCAATGTTCAAATTCTCAGTCAGCCACAGAAACCCACCTTGGGCAAGTCACATCCTCTCAGCCTCAGGGAGAGGCAATGGCAAACCTCCTCTGAACAAATATTGCCAAGAACCCCTGTGATAGGTTTGCTTTAGGATTACCATAAAGTGGAAACAATTTGAAGGCAGACAACAATGACAACAAGGCTGAAGGAGGATGTGGGGGGGGGGGGTCTGGATGCTTTGGTGGCATGATTTTCAGGTGAGAATCATGACAAAAATAAATTTGGGGAGGGTTTTCAGGTGACTTTGTAATACAGGAACTACACTCACTTTCCTCACCATTGCTTACGACCAAAAATTTATTGTCATTACAGCTGACTACCTCAGTATTCTAGGTTTTAAAAAACAGAAGGGGGAAAATGAGGAAGAGGAAGATGAGAAAGAAAGAAAGAAAGAAAGAAAGAAAGAAAGAAAGAAAGAAAGAAAGAAGAAGAATTTTAAAGAATGTGGATTATTTAGAATGGCCCAAAAAAATTATTACCTTAACACGAAATGTTCAGATTCTTTTTTTCCTGATGACTAAAAACAGCTACCTTTGGTTTCCCAAGCCAAGCCAACAGAAATCTTCAATGTGCTACAATAGAAATCACTGTTAAAACAGAGAGAACTTGAGTAGAGGGGAAGCTGTCCCAAAAAATAAATCAAAAACTCCACTGAACATTGTGGAAGCTTTCATCATAAGAACAACAGCTTTTTGTAAATTGGACAGAATTTCCTCTTCCAATAAAAGGATTGCAGATTTTTGTCTGTCTTGGATTCAATGTCCATTTTTTTGGCTTTTCCTCAGTTCTGCAGACAGACATCTTACCACCTTAAGACAGAAACAACCCAATATTTTCTCCTAGTGGAAAACACCTCCTCTATCAGAGGCATTTAAACAGCTATAACTTACATTCAAAGAACTGACTGGGCTGTAAAACTGATGAGCAATTAACCACACAGATGTTTATTACGGGATGCGTGTAAACACTGCTCTGGCATGACCTCTGAGTAGCTGACATTCAGAATTTGCAACTCCATGCATTTCTGGAAGTCCTCAAAGGAAGCTGCAGATCAGCTGCCTGCTTCAAATTAAAATGTGCATGGGGGGGTTGTATTATTATTCTTATTAATACTAAACACAGTTGTAAACACTTCCCGTTCTATCCAAAATGACCTTCTCCCCAAGCTTCTGTACAGTTTGCTATGTGACACTGTTTGCTTAATGCCTGGCAGCTACTTTAAAATTACTGGAATTTTCAATCCACACCTACCAGTTCGGGAGGGAGCCAAAATCAGCACTCTGTCTCAGTGAGTTAGTTTCTCTGGGTTGTTGCTTTTTTAAATAAAAAAATAATAAAAAATAAAATAAAATATCTGTCATTCATGGAAAATTCTGCTAGGATGAGCACAACATGTCAGAAACCAAGTCACTTTCACAAACGGAAAAATTACAACTTACAGTCTTCCCCCAACTGCTCACAGGAGTTGTGTACATGTGTGTCAGTGGTGTATTCAAGTCTTTTAGTCCAAGTCTCAAGTCAAGTCTCAAGTATCTACCTTCAAGTCTCAAGTCCTTGCCAGATACTTTCAAGGCAAGTCTTGAATCTCGCATTTGGGAGCAAACTTTAACAGAAAAAAAAAAAAGAAGGCGGAAAGCATTTCTCAGAGGGAACAACAAGTGTGTTAGGCAATGGATTTGAGGTGGGGGTTGGGGTCTGCTTGGCAGCCTGTCCCTTTTACACATCAGAGGATCCTTCTAAAGTTTTTCAAAAGATTTAGAAGGATCCATCCACTTGAAGCCCATTGCCTAACACATTTGCTGGTCCCTCCAAGCAACATGCCCTATGCTCTGAGTGTGGGTTTTGCCTGCTGCTCAAAGTGAATGGCATCAGCAAGTCAGTCACTAGAAATACACATGTCTCAAGTCAAGTTGAGTTATGTGTCATTTTTGCCAAGTCAAGTCCAAGTCTAGTCATTGAAGCGACTTGTATCTGACTTCTGTGCGAGTCAATTTACTTAAGTCTACATCACTTATGTGTGTAAAGACTTCACCTTGGACAGATCACTGCAACAACCTCTCATAACACCACTGTGTGCCAGAAGAGACATAGTTTGAATCTTGGCCAATTAGACAACACAAACATTTTGCATCTAGCTGTGTCGAAACAACACTGAAGAGTGTCAAGGATACAGTTATTGCTTATTGAATGATAGAGTTGGAAAAGACACTCAAGGGCCATCCAGTCCAACCCGATTCTGCCATGCAGAAAGACACAGTCAAAGCACCCCTGACAGATGGCCAGCCATCCAGCCATTTAATTTAAAAACCTCCAAAGGAGGAGACTCCACCATTCTCCACTGTCAAACAGCTCTTCATGTCTGGAAGCTCTTCCTAATGTTTAGGTGGAATCTCTTTTCCTGTAGCTTTCATCCATTGTTCCAGGTCCTATTCTCTGGAGTAACAGAAAACAAGTTTGCTCCATCCTCAATATGACATCCCTTTAAATATTTAAACTCCTGCTCAGCTTCTACATTTGTAAATTTGAATAAACAGCGCTGCAATGTTCTTGTACTTTCTCTTCCTAAGCAAAGTAACACTGCAGAGAACAAACTGAACACCTGCAAATATTTGGTTATAAGCTAGGCAAGTCCTCACCTGCAGGCTACAAAATAAGTTAAACCAACCAGGTGCCCTCCAAATGTGCTAGACTGTAATACCTATTAATCTCCACAGAGCAGCCAATAACTAGGTGATATGGGATTATGGGAGCTGCAGTACAACACATCCAAATGCTACAGGATTCAAGAAGTTAAATGTGCTTCTTCATGGTACAACAGAGTAAGGATTTTATTTTGGCAACCTATAAGAATTACAGAACTTGAGCTAAGTGCATATTTACACATTTCAGTCAGAAGAGAATACAAAATCAGTCAGGAAGGGGGGTTGCAGACTGCCAGAAATAGTGCAAATTGAGGCCACTTTAACTGCCCTGGCTCAGTGCTAGGGAATCATGGGAATTTGTTTTTTTTTTCCTGAGACATTGAGCCTTCTCTGTCAGAGAGCTCTGGTGCCACAATAAAATACATTTCCCATGATTCCTTAACCCTAACCCTAACCCTAAAAGTAGACTCAATTTGCACTATTTCTGGCAGTCTGCAACCCCCGAAGAAAGCCAAATGTTGTCCAGGGAACTTACTCTTGCTTCTATGTGAGGAATTCAGCATTCCCTCCTGACAGCACCCAAGGCATAAACTCTAAATGAAATCCTACTTGGCAATAGATAATATTGAACTAAGGCACTTTTGCCTTTCAAGGACACTCTAAATTTGCTTCATTACCCTTCTGAAACATTGCCCACCCATCTGCAAGGAGAGATGCCAAAGCCTCACAAGCCCTAGAAATCTGATTTTTCAAAGGCAGACGAAGGTTTCAGAGTAATGACAGTCATATGTGTCCTTACTTATGAAGACTTATATTCCAAGGCAGCAAAGACAAATATTTATCAATCATTCCTCAATGTTCAGAGGATCTTATTGGTTCACCTTCACATGAAGGTATATTTCAAATAGGTCATCTTGAAGCAGAAACAGCCAGCATGGTGTAGTGGTTTGAGCATTGGACTTTGACTCTGGAGGCCAAGGTTCAAATTCCTGCTCAGCCACTGGGTGACCTTGGGCAAGTCATACTCTCTCAGCCTCAGAGGAAGGCAATGGCAAGCCCCCTCTGAAGCAGCTTGCCAAGAAACCCCCATGATAGCCTCACATTAGTGTTGCCATACATCAGAAACAGCTTGAAGACACAGAACAACAAACAACAACAAATTTCAAGCTGATTTTCTTTGGGACATTTGACCTGTTTATATTAATACCCAAACTCTTTATGTAGTCCTTAACGCCCTTTAAAAATGAACATCTAAGCACACAAAATACTTGCAAATGTGCTAAAAACATACCCAATTCATTCATTCTTTAATTAATATTCTGCCTTTCTCCTTGCACAGAACCTAGGGAGGCTTTTATCCTAAGTGTGGCTAAAAAAAACAACAATGTGCATACAAGTTAAAACACAATTAAACAAGCAATTCTATTACAACACGAAGTTAAAACAGTTTTAAGTATATTTAAAACATCACAAAAAGATAAAGACACAGCCCCATTAAAAGCCCATTCTGCCACATCTATTATAAGCCAAATGCCTACTTAAACAAGAAGATCTTTGACAGCAGGCAGAAGAAGAAGGGGCAACTGAACCTCACAAATACCGTACTAGAAACCTGCTTATTAAGGAGAGCTGGGGTTTTCATCTTCAGAATACTACATTTTCTGTATCCATTTCTGCACATTACAGCCACAGAAAATAACTTCAGATGTTATAAACAATTTGCAGATAAACAACCCTGCATTCCTGCCTACGGCTTCTCTCCAAAGTGGTTTATCACCTGCTTATTATCATTTGCGTATTTTAAAAAAGAGGCAAAGTGTGTGAGCAAGTTGCCCTTTAGCATAGAAAAGTCACCTATCATGGGAATCCCCATCCTCAGTTCATCCAAATTATCTGTAATGAGCTGTAAATGCTTGTCCTTTGACATGGTGTCATCCTGGTATGTAGCTACATGGACAGAGGTGCATGGGAAGCTGAAATGAGAAGCACCATCTGTGAAAAAATGCTGAGGTAGCCTTGCTGGCCATACAATTTTGTTGTCATTTGCCTTCAAGTTGTGTCCAACTAAGGCAGGGGTCGGCAACCTACGGCCCATGGGCCAGTTCCAGCCCGGGGCTCCCCGCTTACCGGCCACCGCCACCACCTGCCGCCTCCGCCTGCCACTGCTGTTGTGAGTTTTGGCCGCCGCGCAGCCGCGCGCGTCACGCCATCATTTTGTTTTTCAAAATGGTGGCCGTGGTGCGTTTGCGCATGTGCAGGAGTACTGCGCATGCGCAAACGAGTCGTGGCCGCCATTTTGGAAAACAAAATGGTGGGCGCAACAGGTGCGGCAGCGCGCGTGGCGGCAGTCACGTGTAGCGGCAGTCACGTGTGGCGGCGGGGGTTGCATGCGCGCGCGTGAGTGCGTGCGTGCGCCGCCATTCCCCCCCCCAGCCCGCCAGAAGGGAGGACCTCAGCGGACCGGCCCCCGGCTGAAAAAGGTTGCCTACCCCTGGACTAAGGTGACCATGGAGAATCTACATAAATTCAACCTTGATAACAAGGAAATCAAAATACTTTTTTAAAAAAACAGTTCCCGTACCTTGGTTCAAACATTAATCAGAAATAAGAAATAAGAAGAAGACTAGGAATTGGAAGGGCAGAAATGAAAGAACTAGAAAAGATCCTAAAGATTAAAGACATACAACTGAGCACTAAAGTTAGAATCATCCAAGCTACAGTGTTCCCCATTACCATGTACAGACAGCTGTGAGAGGTGGATAGCGAAGAAAGCAAATAAAAAGAAATCAACTCACTGGAGATATGGTGCTGGAGAAGACCATGGATGGCCAAAAAGACAAACAAATGGGTTCTGGAACAAATCAAGCCTGAACTCTCCCTAGAAGCCAAGATGATCAAATTGAGGTTGTCATACATTGGCCATATCATGAGAAGGCATGAATCACTGGAAAAGACAATAATGCTAAGAAAGATAGAAGGCAGCAGAAAGAGAGGAAGACCACACTCCAAATGAATATGCTCAATCCTGAATATGCAGGACCTAAGCAGAGTAGTGGAGGACAGGAGGGCTTGGAGATGTTTCATGCATAGAGTTGCCATGAGTCATCTAACAACAACAAGGTGAACCTACCATAGGGTTTTCTTGGCAATAGTTGCTCTTTGCCATTGGAAAAAGCAACAAGAGGAGCCGCTATTTTAGATCTGATCCTAACCAACAGGGATGACCTGGTCAATGGGGTGCAAGTGGTGGGATCCTTAGGTGGGAGTGATCATGTTCTCCTGGAGTTTCTTAAACAGTGGAGAAAGGAGAAGCCAGGCATAGTCAGACACACATTCTAGACTTTAGGAGAGCTGGTTTTCGTAAACCTAGGGAAATAACTGGGGGTGATCCCATGGTCAGGAATATTAAAAGAGAAGAGAGTCTATGATGGATGGGAGTTTCTGAAAAGTGAAATACTGAATGAACAATTTCAAACAGTTCCAATGAGGAGGAAGAATGGGAGGTGTCTCAAGAAAGCAGGATGGATGACTACGAAAATTACAACCGAGCTAAGTTTTAAATGGAACATGTATAAGAAATGGAAAAAGGGGGAAATCACCTAAGAGGAATTCAAACAAATAGCAAGCACATGTAGGGGTAAAGTCTGAAAAGCTAAAGCAAAGAATGAACTCAGGCTTGCTAGAGAGGTTAAGAAAAACAAAAAGGGCTTTTTGGGGTATGTCAGCAGCAAAAGGAAAAAGAAGGAAATGGTAGGGCCACTGCGTAGAGAAGATGGCAAAATGCTAACAGCAGACAGAAAAAAGGCAGAAGTACTCAACACCTTCTTTGCCTCAGTCTTCTTAGAAAAAGAAATGGGTGCTCAACTTGATGAAAATGGAGCAAAGCACACAATAGGCAGAATGCAGCACAGAATAAGTAAAGAGATAGTACAGGAATACCTGGTTAACCTACCATAAATGAATTTAAGTCTCCAGGATCAGATGAACTACATCCAAGGATATTAAAAGAACTGGCAAATGTAATCTCAGAGGCACTATCAATAATCTTTGAGAACTCTTGGAGAAAAGAAGTCCCAGAAGACTGGAGGAGGGCAAACATTGTTCCCATCTTCAAAAAGGGGGAAAAAGGGATCCCAGTAACTGTCGCCCAGTTAGTCTGACATCAATACCAGGAAAGATTCTACAACAGTTCATTAAAGAGAGTGTCTGGGAAAATTTAGAAGGGAATGCCATAATCACTAAAAGTCAATATGGGTTTCTCAAAAACAAGTCATGCCAGACTAATCTGATCTCTCTTTTTTTGATAAAATTAACAACTTGGTAGATGAAGGGAATGCTATGGATATACCATATCAGTATATCAGTAAGGCTTTTGACAAGGTCCCCTATGACATTCTGGCAAACAAGCTAGTAAGATGTGGGCTAGACAAGGTAACTGTTACATGGATTTGTAACTGGTTGACCAGCCAAACCCATAGGTTGCTCAGCAATGATTCCTCTTCATCCTGTAAAGAAGTGACCAGAGGGGTGTCCAGTGGGGTTCTGTCCTGGGCCTAGTGCTATTCAACATCTTTATCAATGACTTGGAAGAAAGAATAGGGGGCATGCTTCTCAAATTTGCAGATGACAACAAATTAGGAGGAATAGCTAATACCCCAGAGGAGAGGATCAAAATTCAAAATGACCTTAATAAATTAGAAAGCTGGGCCAAAGCTAACAAAATGAATTTCAACATGGAAAAATGTAAGGTATTGCACTTAGGGCAGAAAAATGAAATGGATAGATATAGGATGGGGGACACCTGGCTTAATGCGACTATGTGTGAAAGGGATCTAGGAGTCCTAGTAGACTACAAGTTGAACTTGAGTCAACAGTGTGATGCAGCAGCTAAAGGGCCAATGCATTTTAGGCTGCATCAATAGAAGTATAGTGTCTAGATCAAGGGAAGCAATAGTGTCATTGTATTCTGCTTTGGTCAGGCCTCACCTGGAATACTGTGTCCAGTTCTGGGCACCACAATTCAAAAAGGATGTGGAGAAACTGGAACGTGTCCAAAGGAGGGCAACTAAAATGGTGAAGGGTTTGGAAACCATGCCTTATGAAGAGAAACTTAGGGAACTGGGTATGTTTAGCCTGGAGAAGAAAAGGTTAAGAGGTGATATGATAGCCCTCTTTAAATATTTGAAAGGGTGTCGTATTGATGAGGGAGCAAGCTTGTTTTCTGCTGCTCCAGAGAACAGGACCCAGAACAATGGATGCAAGCTACAGGAAAAGAGATTCCACTTCAACATTAGGAGGAACTTCCTGACAGTGAGAGTTGTTCGAGAATAAAACGCACTCCCTCGGAGGTTGGTGGAGTCTCCTTCTTTGGAGGTCTTTAAACAGAAGCTGGATGGCCATCTGTTGGGTATGCTTTGATTGAGAGTTCCTGCATGGCAGGGGATTGGACTGGATGGCCCTTGTGGTCTCTTCCAACTCTTTGATTCTATAACTCCTATGATTCCCCTGAAAATAAAGCACAACAAAATATAAAATACACATTCTGATGCTACCTTTCTTTGGCCAACCAAAAGAGATGAAATTTATTATTCTAACTTTGAAGCAGGAGCCAGTGTGGTGTAGTGGTTTTGATTCTTGGTCTAGGTCTCCAGGAGACTAGGGTTCAAATCCCCACTCAGACACTGACCTTAGTCAAGTCTCACTCTGCCATCATCAGAGGAAGGTAATGAAAAATCCCCTCTGAACCAATCTTTTAAAGAAAACCCATGATAGGTTTCCTTTAGAGGTGCTTGAAATGGCTTTTAAGGCACACAACAAAAACAGTTTTCAAAGCTCACTTGGCTTCCTTCTCAGGTAAAGATTTAAAAAATTATACAAGAGAGGGAAAGTGTCTGTGTTGGAGTCACAGATCCACATCATGTTTGCTTTTGGTTTTGTTATTTACTTGCATGTCTGCACCAACTTATGGCAACCCTATCCTAGTGTGTTTTTTGGCAAGATTTCTTTACAGGAGATTTGCCATTGCACTCCTCTAAGACTAGAGAACAGGACCTGCCCAGTGAGTCCGCATAGCTCAGCAGAGATTCAAATCCTTGTCTCCAAACATCCTAGTCCAAACATGCTAAACTACTACACCATGCTGGTTTTTGATACTTAATTAAGGTGATCTTAAAGTTGTATTGAGGTTGGGTTAATGCAGATAGAGGCCACACCTGTGATGACAAAGGGAGTTAAAGAAACTCAGTAACATTTCCTTCTCCATTACCATCATCCTTTACATCTTTTGTTACATGCCCCTAAGGTTTACCATGGACTTTTATCCCCATGGGTCATACCCAAATCCATAATTTAGGCACCAAATCCTGCCCTTGACTTATACATGAGGTCAACTTATTGAAGGAGTATATATGGTACAAAAATGTGTATGCATTTTTTAAAAAAGCAAGCTTTTACTCATGTCTTTGCAAGTATTTTTACCTGTATTTTTTCTTACAGTTTTGCAAGCTGCCTTGGGTTCCAGTTTTAGGGGGGGAGAGAAAAGAAGGGGGACCTTCTGAACAGCAATGCAATGTGTCTGGCCAATCTCAGTACTAAGAAACAGATGCAGTTCATTCCACACATTGTTCTAGAGACTGCCTTGATTTCAGTATCTTTGGGGTTTTTTGCCTCAGGATAGAACATTCTTCAAGCTGTTTTTTTTTTCCAATTCACTTTGTTTTTTCAGCAAGAAGACAGAACAATAACATTCCAAGGCTAGGACAACTGTTCTCAAATACAAACATAGTGAATTTTGTTGGAAGCAATGAGCCCTTGGTATCTGCTGAGATATGATTCCAGGACCCTCTGTGGATACCAAAATCCACGGATTCTCAAATCCCATTAAATACAATGGTACAGTAAAATGGTGCCCCTTATATAAAACGGCAAAATCAAGGTTTGCTTTTTGGAATTCTTATCTATTTTGAATATTTTCAAACTGTGGATGGTTGGATTCATGGATACAGAGAGCCAACTGTAATGCCTTGCTCATCAGGGGTAGCATTAGTATCCAAACCACAGTTTAGAAAAATACTTTTTTTGGAATGACAGTGGCCATCTGCCTGGTAGATTCTGGGAATCAGAGTCCAACAATGTAAATTTTCTGAGATCCACTGATTTCATGATGTCCTTCTACACCAGGGGTAGGCAACCTAAGGTCCGGGGGCCGGATGCGGCCCCCTGAGGCCTTTGTGCCGGCCCCAGGACAGTTCTGCCGCTGCTGCCGCCGCTGCTACCCCCCGCCGCTGCCCACCATGATGATATTGATTATTGTTGTCATTACTTGTTCTTGGGGTTTTCTTGGCAAAATCTCCACAGAGGTTTTGACATGGCTTTTCTGGGGCTGAGAGAGTGTGCATGAATATTTTTTTTTAAATTTTAATTTTTAATTTTTATTTATTTATTTATTTATTTATTTTTGGTGCTTCGGCCCCCCAATTGTCTGAGGGACAGTAACCCGGCCCCCGGCTCAAAAAGGTTGCCTACCCCTGTTCTACACAGAAAAAAAATATTGCGGCAGATGTACACACGCTCACAAGGTATTCATGCTGCAACAGTATTAAATCATTCTTCCTTTTCAGTAACACTCTGGCCTTAAATTCTGAAAGAAACCTCCCCTTTGACCCAAACGGGCAGCACTGTGGATATTGGATAACACCTGTCTGGCCCTCTTAAGCCCTACAAAGCTTCCTATTATTAGCAAAAACCAACATATTCTCCCCGGACCGCAAAGCATTAGCCTGGATCAGCCAGCTATTTACATCAGGACAAAACCCACGTGGCTGCCAAAGTAACGCCTTGTGGCTTAGGACTGCACAAAAAAGCTCTATTAAGAGCATCAACATGGCCAAGAGATTGAGAGAAAGAAGAAGAAGCTAAGCATGGTATAAACACACAGTACAGTGCAGGCCCCAGTCTAAAATATTGTTTTTTGCAGGCTGTGTTTCCCTCATCCAGAATACCAAAATCCAAAATGCTCCAAAACCCCAAACCTTTTCCCATGGAATAGTGACACTTATTATTAATTATTATTAAAGTTTATTTCTAAAGCACTGTCAATGTACACAGCACTGAACAAAGAGATAATCAAAGCATTAAAATAAATAAAAACCTGCCAAAGGCATACAATCTAAAACTTTTGCTTTCTGATAGTACAGTCCACACAAACTGTGTTTCATGCACAAAATTATTCAAAATATTGTATAAAATTACCTTCAGGCTATGTGTCTAAAGCGTATATGAAACATACAGAGAATTTTGTGTATAGACTCCACCTCCAGGACATCTCATTATGTTTATGCAAATATTCCAAACTCCAAATAAATAAATAACTAAATAAAATCAGAAATTCATAGAATCATAGAATCATAGAGTTGAAAGAGACCACAAGGGCCATCCAGTCCAACCCCCTGCCATGCAGGAACTCATTTCTGGTCCCAGCTATTTTGGATAAGGGATACTCAACCTATATCTTTATTTATATCCAAGAAGCAAGACTGTGTACTCATTTAAAAGGTAAAAATTAAAACATACAAAAAGTCTACATTAAAAACAAATTAAATTATTAACCCAATTAAAAACACTGTTGTTGTTCTGTGCCTTCACAGAGTTTCTGACTCATGGCGACCCAAGGCAACCCTATGATGGGTTTTCTTTGCAAGTTTCTTCAGAGGAGGTTTGTCACTGCCTTGCTCTGAGGCTGAGAGCATGTGACTTGCCCAAGGTTTGCAGTTCAACACTCAAACCATTACTCCATACTGACTCCAATTTAGATTAAACATGCCCAGCTCCCTCAACCACTCCACACAGCTTTGATTTCCAATGCTCAAACTACTGCACCACACTGTCTTCAATTCAAAAAATCTATAAAAGTCTGGTGGTGCAGTGGTTAAATGCCAGTACTGCAGCCACAAGGTTGCAAGTTCGATCCCCACAGGGCTCCAAGGTTGACTCAGCCTTTCATCCCTTCGTAGGTTCATAAAATGAGTACCCAACTTGTTGGGGTCAATTGGCTTACAGACTGTAAACCACTTAGAGCAGGGACAGGCAACCT